TGTGAAGGAGAAAGAAGGGAGGCGTCTGCAGTAGCCTGTTTTCGCTTACCCGCCCTGCTGTATGCAGCAAGTAAGGCGACCCGGCTGATGGCACCACGCGACGGCCGATGTGGCATGAGTTTATTTGTGCAACAATACATGTATTGCTCCATAGATGTGTGCAGCTGAATGTGACTATTTGGCCGGAGATGAGCTTGATGATGTGTCACCATCGCTAGGATGAGGAATTAAGAGCCTGGGCTATAGTTCATCAAGAAAGGGGATGTTTGAGGATCTCTTGAAGATTTTCAGGACTGAAGGGTGGCCTATCTGAGGAAAGCGTTGAATTTAGCACTGTGTCAGAGGTGCGCATACATCATACGGTACGTGTGGAATCCAAGTATAGCACAAAACCCTAGCTGGTACCAATCACAGCATTCGCTTATAGTCCTTGTCGGTAACGGTGTTTCGGTGCAACGAACCCGACTGCCTATGAACCTAGTGTAGGACTGCAGTTACTTGATGCGGAACGTGTATGATATGTAACACGACAAAAAGTTTTTGCTGCCACAGGTCGATTATTATCTACGTCTCTCCGTAAGGCAGTGCAACTCTGAAGAAATAACATCGGGTTAGAATGAAGCTCGAAGACCACTAGACCAATAAGCTAAGAACTTCTTATTTGCGCGTGGAGAAAGTGACCCACCGGTTTCCTGTGTTTCCACTTCAGTTTCCACTTGCACGTCAAATAGAAACTCCAGCCAGAAATTGAAATTGTTTGGTATCTAGCGTGAAGTGAAGAAAGTGGGCGAAAATAACAACAGAAAGAAGGCAATGTAGGGACAATGATTTTCGTCTCGCGGCACACGTCAATCTGCAGCAATACATTTGGGTACATGCACTCTGCTTCGAGTCTATGGTTTTACTCCCCTAGTACATACGGCTGACCATATTATCAGTGAGATGGACACTCGCCGTTTTCAAATACTACCCTCTGCAGTTATTGTGAATCTTGTGTATGCTATAAATGCAATAATCCCGTACGCTACGTGCTGTCTGTTCAAGGAAGACCTCGCACAGATGTGCCTCCAAGTTTCGATGAGTGAAACATTCCGACTGGTTTCAAGGGACAGAAATAGTCAACTACGAGAGAAGCGGAACACAAACACACGGACAACTAGAAAACGAGATAAAATTGAGGAGGGAATTAAGGCACGCAGTCCATACTGTCTTCGTTGTGTATTGTTTAGGCAGAACCTAGGACTTTGCGTTGCTTAGGGTGGCCGACTTGTATATCACAATAAGGCAGGTCCATTCGTGAACACGAGGATTTTTAACACACAGATTCTACTCAAGTGTACATTTGCAGCCTTTACATGTCCAACTGCAAGCCATAGGCAAAACATTCCCCCTTCGAGAATGACTACCGTGAGAAAATGGCATCTGGAGTATTCTTTGGAAGGAGGGGAAACGATTCTGAAGGCTAGTGAGGACTTTCCGGAGGATCCAAGTCCCATTATACCGATCAGTCTAAGGAAAATTATTCCACAAAGCTCCCGTAGTCAGCGAAACCTCAGATCGATACTGTTGAGCTATGGTAGTTCTTCGAAGACAGTGGATTGCGAGGGGCTGGATGTAAACGAACTGTCAGGCGTGCACGCACCATGGCGTGATCGGAATCAAGTGGTGTGCCCCTGAGGGAACGGCAGTCTTGAATTGTGGCTCTCCACCGGTGGCTGACGGCCACATGGTTCAACTGGGTCCACGGATGGTGGCCAGCAGGTTACGCAGTGCGAACGTTTATTTTGAAAGTTCGTACTTGCCAGAAACAGTTCATGATCAGCACACAACTGAAGGAGTCGATCTCCGTTGTCCGTGCGGCGAGCATCTACTCCGAATCGACCGCCAAAATGTGATTTCAAGGAGCTCAGATAACCTAAAGCTGCCACCTTGACGTGGTAGTCGGGCTTGAGTGCTGCAATGATGCCGCGGGCTACATTGACTGAAATGTCGTTCCACAAGGTGTAACCTTGCCAGGAAGGCCAGAGGGGAGCAGCCAGGTTTCTGAGACTCAAAAACATGTTTTGAGGGTTCGATAGTGGACCATCGTATAGTTCGTCCTTAAGGTGAGAAATAGAGACTCTACCGTTTTAAGTGTGGTATAGCAGATAGAAAGGCCTGTTAACCACTCAACATTCATTATCATAAGATCAAAGTAGTTCTCTAAGGTGTTATACTACTGCTCGAACCTCTAGCCAGTTCCTTTGCAATGTGTCTGATTGCAACGATGTGCTGGGTTGGATTATTAGGGTGTTGATAACCGCAAAAGGTCTTGTTCAAATGATCAATGGAGCCAAAATATATATTCTGAGGACAGGGTATGCCTGACAAATCTCCAAAGAAAGTTCGGCAACGCTACTAAAGTACATCAGCACTAGTCGTACCAATCCAAGGTAAGTGAAAAACATGATAAAACGGGTTTTTAACCAAATATCCCACCTTTCGGGTTGCCATAGAACATCAGAGTAAAACCGAATGTTGGTAGATTTATGCTAATGGTAATGATTTTTCCTACAAACGAGTATCTGGAAAGGATTATCAACAGAATGGAAAAACGTTTAGCTCGCTTACTTTGTAAGACTTCTCCGATGTAATTCGTCTGAAGTGACAAATAAGCTTGATGTTTTGGATTGTTGAAGACAACTTCCTGGGGCGGGCGAGGAAGAAAAACTGCATGAACGCATGTATACGGGCTCTCATGTACACAAAAGACAGTATATGAATACAAGGCTCAGTAAGACTATATTCAATTATGAAAATAGACAGCGAAAAAGACAAAGTGCAAGTGCAATGAGAAACATGTAATACCACATGAAGGGGATGTGAAGTATTGTTGGCAAAGTTCAGATGAGAATGCTTTATTAATCATGGTCATAATCGTAATGGCTCAGTTGTAGCACTCTTTCGGTGCCTAGCTATCATGCCACTCAAGGGAAGCACGAGGGCTTGGAGACTGCCAGGTTGTCCAAACCTGGACGGAAGGAACCGAGATGGTGAGGCTGGGTTCGAACCACATATCTTCCAGTTTTTAGGTTTGCGCCTTAGTCACTGAGCTATAAGCACATAACCGTCTAGGAAACTGGAGGTCAACATCCGACACTAGTACAGAAGAATGACACCCAGGGGAGCCAACCAGGAAGTGATCAAGGTGTGCCACTAGTGTACAGCCGCGAGACGAATACCAGTACTGTGACTCCTGAAACAATTGAAACCCTAGGGTTTTGTGTACAATCGAGGTAAGGTCACTAGCCTAAATTCTTGAAGTTGACAAACACACGTCCGGCCTTCCGTAATTTTCTAGTTAGTTTCATCAATACATCTGATTTAGTTCGGCATACTATCCAAGATCCTTAAAATTGCCGAGGGATTACCAAATGAACTGAGGTAGAAATAGTCACCGCCAGTCCTGGGGGTGAAAATGTGCGTGTCGAAGTTGCACGCTGATAAGATCAAATCACTTGGGATGAAATTAAGCAGTTCCCATTTTGTCATAAAACAAACATTGTGGCCGATTGAATGGTAACAATCAATGTCCTATGGAATGTCGTGTATTGCTGAAAAATAGGATGCGGATAGCTACTGATACGAGTAAAACATGCAGATGATTTGATCGAGTCAAGGTACACGAACCCTGGCCAATCCAGGGAAACTACCACCCCACCTCAATATCGATTACATACCCGAAAAAATCCTTGATTTGCTAACGGTGGCACTCATTTATTCTCTCTTCTTAGAGATACGTACGACCTCATAGTTGTAATGCCTTCGTGCTGGCTGACAATGCAATAGACGACAGCCAAACAAAAGCTACCGATTTCCGCTGGCCCTATTAATCTCAAAAGAACACAATCTTCTCTACAAATTCCAGTGACCCCTTCCTGCTCTCTTCTTAAACAGATTAAGCTGGAAGTTTACTATTCATAACCTTCAAAGGAAAGTCTTCCCGTTCGAGGGAATCAAGTACCAGCACTCTACAGCCAACCGAAACACCACCTTCCTACCTCCACCCCATTACTTGCTTGTTGGCAACAAAGTATGTTTATTTCTTGTCTTGTCAATCTACTCATTTTTAGTAGACTTTTCAAAAGTTAAAACTGCTCTTCATAGAACTCTGTAACAAGGCAACTCCAGAATGCCATTCGATCCATATTTTTCCAACCCGCTACAACGCTTTATCGGCCAAGAAAGATTATTGTGGGTTTCGAGTTAACTACGGAGTTTTTCTCATCCCCAATCTATGAGCAGATAAAGAGATCGGTTATATTCAACTGTAAGCACGGTTCTTCAAACTCAATCAACTAGGTCAACGGACAAAGTAGATGACGATAAACGACGTGATAAACGTGTGTTATTTATGTTTCATCAGTCAGTAACTAACCAGGCGGGAGGATCCATTCGAAACATTTGGTCCAATATGGGGACAGCTCCGGAATAATTCCTGTTCAGCACGCAGAGTTCAAACAGGGTAGCCAGGTCCCAGTAGTCTGTAAGCTGGGAAATATCTCCTAGCGCTCCGATGGAACAATTCAAGCGTGCACCTGTGAGAGATTAGAGTGAGTGGTGAGCTAAGATAGAACACGGGAATATTTAATGAATAGAAGTGGATAAGCCAGTGGGATTAAAAGGTGCGCACCACCCTAAACGGCCTTTGAATACGTTAAAAAGCCAACGGACACCGAAGGTCCGTAAAGAACTGGGAGTAACGGAAGAGGTAAACAAAATGATTGAAGGGGGCACATGAGTCGCAAGTGATAAGCTAGTTCAGGTCGGCGAAGGGTGTGCCGGAGGGATTGCTTTGGAGGTAAGCCATCCATAGGAATGAAAAAGTAAGCAGGAACGACATGACAACGGATCCTACCTTTGCAGAACCCAAAAAAAGAGAAACGAAACAAACTCACAAATCTCGCGATGTTCTGCGCCAGATATGGAGTCCGGATCATAGCAAGCTAACAAAGTAGCAAGGTTGATGCCAAGATAATCGCTGGCGCTAGCTTGATATCCAGTTCTATAGCTTTCAATGGCTAACTTTAGTGATTCCGTATCCGAGTAGTCGGGGGATTGAACGAATCGGTCTTTGTAAATTCTCCCACGAAGCCCGTACATGTCTGCTGAACAGTTCACACCCGTTTCAATGAGCTGATGTTCGGTGATGTTAAAGAAAGATTAATAAAGAACAAAGATTTATTGGTGTTAGGGCATAAACTAGAACGAGAGTATTTGAGCAGATTAGGGAATCTATTCGAAGTGGTAGGGGGTGAATAAAAGATGACTCGTTCTGTACTCGTGTGTATATGCAGTATGGACCAAGAACCAAGCTATACTGTTGTCTGGAACAACTGACAATTGCATCACCAGACAGAACGTTTTCAGTTCCACCGAACGCTAAAGTCAAGATTGACTTTCATGTTGGTATGTTAACAGTGGGTCTTTCAGCTGTGACATTCCTTCGGTGCCATACAACTCGAAGGAATCGCAATGGCTGCCAAAACCTAGATAGGAACAATCGAAAAGTCGTTCAAGCCACGGACCTCCCGGTCACATGCGTGGTACCCTAAGAGTTGAAATATTTCAAGCACAGGAATAATCGAACCATCAGCAACAATGCTTCTTGGTGACGGTCAACTGCCAAACAAGCATAGTTGAGTCACATATGCTGGCGATCGAAAAATTAACCAACCATCAGATAGGTAACAAAGGATTATGAACACAGGCACATTGAAGGGGAACGGCAAGGCCTCGCGTGTGCTGTAAGCCTTAGCCATCGGTGGCAAGGAAAGCTTTTAACTGAACATATTAGTCTGCGACAAACTGACAGCCTTTTAAAGAGAACACCCCGGAGACTGATCAGAATCATTCTCTCACATGAGGAATCCCCTCTAAAATGCAATCAACCGCGAACAAGTTTGGAACGTTCACAACGATTTCATTAAGTTGCTTTCTTCAGGCTAAAACTTCTACTACAGATTAAATTGATGGATTTACACAGTTAACCGGTGGTCGCTATCCTGAACGATGTAACACTTCAAAGATCTTAACTAGACCCTTATCGTCGCATAAACAAAAAGTCCGATTAATACGATAACATTTATACGCTCACTTATTCGGCCACCACGTGAGGCTGAACACAAGTCACAAGGATAAAACAAATTTGTAACAGCATATGTTTCAGCCAGTGCTCAAATCCGAATAAAGCGACACGTCTGAGCGTTGAACTAGCCACAATAGGACAAGAGTGTTATCAATAGTGATGCCCAATATTCACTGAGGTTCACTGTCTTTTGGCTTTGGGTTGGCGCGACTCTGCAAACTGATCATCCAATGGAAGCAATCAACCACAGCCCTGAAATTGCTTGTTGTTTAACTCGTTAGTGAATAATCAGTTTTTGGTACACTCAGCTGTGTGGGGTGGGGTTGGGTGATTCAAGCCGGAATTTTAGTATAAGTGTGCGCGTCCGGTTGCCGGTTGCCGTTGCTACCGTAACTCAAAAGGGACGTAGATCGACCACGTAGCATTGACGTGGCGATCTTGTATTCCAAACTGTCGCTAATTTACGATGACGAGCATGGACTCGTACCGCGCTCTGCTTCGTGACCATGTTAAAACTTGTTTTCTTGTGACCAAGAGATCGATTTAGCAATATGACGATCACAATTTGCACGATGCAAAGGCCAGAAAAGTCTGCCACACGCAGCTGCTTAGACAACTCTTGAAAGTGTAACAAACCGATCAGCCGGATAAGACTGGCTCCGAGACTTCGAAACATGACGAGTTCGAAATTACGACTGTGCAAAGCCATAACCAAATGTAAGACGGATCTCACAGTAATCTGCATCCTACATCGAGGCAAAAAAAAGCCCCAAAATTCACTCCAATTTCAGTTGTCTGCTCTAATGGGCGGACAGTTTCGAAGAATAATGTAGCTGGCCTCAGATGTTTAGCATTACCATCAACGCACTACCAGCTTACAAATGGGATGTCAACTATTCGATTCCAGAAGTAGATAAAAACGAATTTGGACTTTTTAAGACGACTAGGGGAAAAGTCGCCTACCCGGCCTCCTTACTCACAAACGGAAGACGGCCCGATCACCATCTGGAAAACTATCTGGAGTTAGAGAAAGTGGAGATGAGAGATAGCTATCACTGTTCATGTATATATATGGGAATCATGGGAATGCCAGATTAATCAGCCTAGAGTCTAAGCTGCATTGGAAACAGCTGATTGCACCGCTTTGTGGCGGTGTCTCCCAAAATTACACTCACCAAATCCTTACAAGTAGTTCTTCACGAGTGTGTGAATGTCCCATGATGACTTTCCCCCTGATTTTAGCACCATAAGCAGTGCCCACTAGAGCTGTCTTTCGTCGCTTTTTCATTGAAACTTCGGAATAGGATTGTCGAAAGATCCACAGCTATATCTCATACTTCGGCGTAGAACTTACCGAGAAACATATGAAAACGGTCCGAAATATGAAAGTCCAAACTATTTTGCCACACGATTCGCACCTCCTAAGTGCCGACAAATATACTTATCTGGACACTATACCACGTCAGATGACAGTCATGCTGGAGAACTGAATGACAAAACCATCACAGGCCACTGCGCTCCTTCAGCTTGGATATCTCAGAAGCCGCGGAACACCAGTCTATCCAGAAACGGCGAAATCCACCGTTGTGGTATGGTTGTGAAACCTCGTCGCTGAGCGTGCGCGTCCGGTTGCCGGTTGCCGTTGCTACCGTAACTCAAAAGGGACGTAGATCGACCACGTAGCATTGACGTGGCGATCTTGTATTCCAAACTGTCGCTAATTTACGATGACGAGCATGGACTCGTACCGCGCTCTGCTTCGTGACCATGTTAAAACTTGTTTTCTTGTGACCAAGAGATCGATTTAGCAATATGACGATCACAATTTGCACGATGCAAAGGCCAGAAAAGTCTGCCACACGCAGCTGCTTAGACAACTCTTGAAAGTGTAACAAACCGATCAGCCGGATAAGACTGGCTCCGAGACTTCGAAACATGACGAGTTCGAAATTACGACTGTGCAAAGCCATAACCAAATGTAAGACGGATCTCACAGTAATCTGCATCCTACATCGAGGCAAAAAAAAGCCCCAAAATTCACTCCAATTTCAGTTGTCTGCTCTAATGGGCGGACAGTTTCGAAGAATAATGTAGCTGGCCTCAGATGTTTAGCATTACCATCAACGCACTACCAGCTTACAAATGGGATGTCAACTATTCGATTCCAGAAGTAGATAAAAACGAATTTGGACTTTTTAAGACGACTAGGGGAAAAGTCGCCTACCCGGCCTCCTTACTCACAAACGGAAGACGGCCCGATCACCATCTGGAAAACTATCTGGAGTTAGAGAAAGTGGAGATGAGAGATAGCTATCACTGTTCATGTATATATATGGGAATCATGGGAATGCCAGATTAATCAGCCTAGAGTCTAAGCTGCATTGGAAACAGCTGATTGCACCGCTTTGTGGCGGTGTCTCCCAAAATTACACTCACCAAATCCTTACAAGTAGTTCTTCACGAGTGTGTGAATGTCCCATGATGACTTTCCCCCTGATTTTAGCACCATAAGCAGTGCCCACTAGAGCTGTCTTTCGTCGCTTTTTCATTGAAACTTCGGAATAGGATTGTCGAAAGATCCACAGCTATATCTCATACTTCGGCGTAGAACTTACCGAGGAACATATGAAAACGGTCCGAAATATGAAAGTCCAAACTATTTTGCCACACGATTCGCACCTCCTAAGTGCCGACAAATATACTTATCTGGACACTATACCACGTCAGATGACAGTCATGCTGGAGAACTGAATGACAAAACCATCACAGGCCACTGCGCTCCTTCAGCTTGGATATCTCAGAAGCCGCGGAACACCAGTCTATCCAGAAACGGCGAAATCCACCGTTGTGGTATGGTTGTGAAACCTCGTCGCTGAGCACAGAAGAAGACTGGCCATCTCAGTTTATGGAGGCCTTCGAAGTACTGCACGTATACCACAAAATATCGGGTCAGTAATGTTGAAAGGCGGCGAATGATTGTCTGATTGGTAAATCGGTTCGGCCACACCAACCACGCTGATTTGGTAATGTGCTCCACAGAATACGTGATCGATTGTCACGCTGTCATTTACTGTGACGGGTTCTAACTGTAAGACCCCACACGATGGGCAAAATATATCACAACGGACGGTATTTGAGCCGGTGAACGTTGTTTGCGAGATTGAGGTGACATGAACAAACACATCAGTGGTTCGATGCACTTACCAATGAGGTAGTATCAGGCAAACAGTGTTTGCGATCTTATTTTCAACCACTAAACCACCAACCTTGTATAGTTTTATTCGTTTTCTCTACCTGCGACCTTTCACCCCCGGTGCTCATCACATAGTGCGGCGACCCGAACCACCATACAAAAAGCTCAGTTTCTAACCTGAATTAAACTTATGCTGGCTTTTGGTTGGGCGCGTCCCCTCAAAAATGGAATAACTGGAAATCACCATTACCGGGATCGCCTGCTTTTGATGCCAATTAACAGTACTTCCACATAGATTTCAATGAAAACCCCGTTTCCATACTACTGACAAATTAGGGGTGCACACAACCGGAAATTAATGCTTGTACAATGGTAAACTGCAGGCAATCGGGATTTCACCTTTCCGGAATCGGATGCACCTCGTTTGCAACAATGAGCTATGAGAATGCCGCGAATGAAACGTGAATAATGATCGGAAGGGACAAAACCTGAGAGACGGACTGCTTTCACAAATCGGATGACACATAGCTACCCACGATACGCGTCATGGTGAAAGTGGACATTCTACCTATTGTAAGCCAGTACACTGTACACAGTAAACTAACTCAGTTAGAAGGCCGTGGTAGTCTTCAGCGGAAGGCTAAATTGTCGCCGATTGTCTAAACAACGGTTACCAGGTCAGACCATCAAAACAACCATCCCATGAAAGAATTATGAGCAAAACAAATCGTCCTAGCACAATCAGTTTCGGGTAGAGAAAAACGAACTCCAGTTGACAGGCCGCTGGTGAGCAGAGGTCAGGTGGAATAAGTGAAACCACACATTCCGGGTTGTGCTGTGCTGTGGATCAATAGTAGACGAGGTGTCATGTGTGCGGTGCATTTGCACGACGGCGGACGCGTTGTGACTAGAGGTTGTTGTTGTTTGTCGGAAACCACAAGGTGACGGAAAAATTCGTGACGTTCACGTCACTTAAAACGTACTAAGACGTGTGTGAAAAGAAGTCATTTTAGCGACTAGGTCTTTACCCCAGGTATTTTGATTGCACTTCCTCAGTTGCTCATGTGATACGGTAGGAAAAAGGGTACAAGAGTAGAATTATCTCGGGTGACATGACCTCTGAAATGGTGTGACTACACACTCTCCATTTTTATACGACATTAAAGCAGTGACTGATGCTTTACGACCACAATACATCTTACACACTGATATTGGCTCTCCTGAAGCTGAGTAGCGTGCGAATGGTAGCAAAACGAGGCGGATTTCAGAGAATCTGATCAATACAAGTCACCAGACCATACTAGAAGTAGGTGAGTTCGGTAGCCTATAATGAAGACGGAAGTGTGCATCTGATGCACAACCGGTCTAAACTGCATTATACAAGCATAGAAACTCTTGAGCACTGTTGTATTATCCCAATAGAAACTTGAGTCACGGACAGGTTAAATGATCTCGTCTATCAAAAGAAAGAGCTGGAGGGAGTGTACAGTACTAGTTACGAACAATTCGAGCTCATATGCGACGAAACTTTTATTTTCCACATTCGCGAGGTTAAAACTGCGGGTGCAGTGCAGCACAATGACAAAGGGAGTAGAATCGCGGTAGTATGAATTGTCAAGTCTCCTCAGAAGCAAAAGCAAACGAACTGCCAGCAAAGCAACCACTCTGATCGCAATTCTGTTAAGATTACCCATCACCTTTACAGAGTTTTGAAAATTAAGATCTTCAAATCTGAAATGGTTCTGCGTAATCCCACAGAGCTACCAAACCCATAACTTTGCGACGAATTGGTCACAATAACGTGATTTGTGTGCGCGAAATGCTGTTAGGACCAAAACAAATAGGGTGTAGAGCTGACCGCCTCACAAACACTGCTTGATATTTCTAAGCGTTTCGGCATTTACTATCAGTACCTATCTTAGTTCTCCTTAGTAAAGAGGGAGCAGAAATACGTAGACATAAGAAGTACCAGTACATGAGCTCTGTGAAAAAAGTCAATAGCCCAGTTGACACCTGGTGCATGGATATCAAACCAGTGATCGCTGATGCGATACTAAGATCAGGTAAATGGAAGAAAATGACTTAAAAGCTGACGGAATTTTAGGCAGGATCGGACGATTATTTCAAGCCATAGAAGGAAGTAGTAACAGTGTACTGTTGCCAGTTGATGAATCTGGTCGTATTTTAGAAATTGCATTGGAGAGTGGATAGACGCTGCAACAAGTAAAATAAATGTCAGTGGAACACTATTGCAGTACCATGAAATTTTTAGCATGCGTCGAAGACAAGACAACGATAATTACGCCATTAGCTTAGGGAAAGCCTGTTCCTGAAGGCTGCCACTAAAAAAGTGGTCCCCATAGAGAGATGATTAATAATATACATTAGCAATGTTGTGCAATGTAGGTAGCTCGGGTGCGCTGTTTGGTAGTTGGTCTGTTCGCCGAGCTTGACAGTTGAATTGCAAACGTTTCATCACCAATCGACAACCGGCGACATCGTCTCGGCTTGGCGCAATCAGACCTTAGNNNTGTGATTATATAGCTTCTAAACAGTATCTGGTAGTTCTGGAAACGGTCGTCGTGTAGTTTTATTGGTCTCTCGTGAATCTGATGTCTCAATCTCCTGTGTATGGTTGGTTCGTTGGGTGCATTCAATTCGGCAGTTCTGTATGTGGTTGTCATGCTGTGATTCGGTCGTTTCCTTCTTGCTTTGTGGTGTGAATTTTCCTCATTTGATTGGTTGAATGAATTGATTGGTTGGATGATTGGATTGGTTGGATGAATCAACCAATCAAATAAGTAAAACCCACACCACAAAGCAAAAAGGGAACGACCGAATAACAGCATGACAACCACATACAGAACTGCCGAATTGAATGCATCCAACGAACCAACCAGACACAGGAGATTGAGACATCAGATTCACGAGAGACCAATAAAACTACACGACGACCGTTTCCAGAACTACCAGATACTGTTTAGAAGCTATATAATCACACGCAGAAGAGGAGGAATTCACCCACTCAACCTTGCACTGACGATGTCACCTCGATTGGTGATGAAACGTTTGCAATCCAACTGCCAAGCTCGGCGAACAGACCAACAACCAATAATATACACTGCCAATTGGCGTCCTTTTCCGGAGTCATCGATCACACGGAATTCTATTTATGGGTCTTAAATAAATAGAACAAGAAGCGGAATGAGCCAAACGACGTGTGCAACTATTTAAACATCTTGAAGCAATAAAATACGGCTGGAGGGTGAACAGAAAGCGACCATCCTACCACAATCAGCATTGTTAACCTTAGGCCCATAACTGTCAGACCAAGCCCGTGGAAACAAATGGGTTGAGTTTCCCAGCGTGTGCTAGTAGCTGGTTGCTCGCACCACACACAACTATTTTATCGCAGGTATATTCTGCTGAACAATGAGTCACTTACACCGATAATGCTGTGCATTAATGCCTCGAATTTCCATGGGATCAGATTACGAATATTATCCGTAGCAGTGCTCTGAATTATGTGTCTGAATGCATCCCTAGCTTTTGAAAATGAAAAGTGCTATCTACAAGACAGTCGGTGGAATTAGAGGATTGATCGCTATCACCTTTGCGATCAAAACCGAGTGTAATCAGTTAAATATGATGGATCTAAGGCGCAGAGGCTTGAGTCGCTCGCATCCGATGTAACCCATCTACCCAGCTGGGACACCGAGGGGCGATCGTTGAGGAAGCGACAGGTGAGAGTTCGGAATACCGAAGACAAGGTTCCTTATGAAGGAAGGACAGTCCCCATGGTAGCATCTCATTTGTCCAAAATTACACCCATACAAATAACTCAAGTCAGCCATAATTCAGTTTGCTCTTGGCATGGACAGTTAGAAGTTACTTGGACAACAATCACACGCACACAAGCGTGAGGGCACGAATATTGACCATTGTGAGGATTGCGGGGGCTCTTTTATCATCAGGTTGAAACAAAAAGAAATGAATGATAGCGTAGCAGCTGAAACATACCCCGGTAATCTCTTTCAGGGCTAGTTCCTGATCCCCGGGCTTCTTGCGACGATTCAGTGCGAAGGCATACAAGTAAGTGAAGGTGCTTGTGTCCACTGCGTTTGGAAGTACGTCCGGCTGGCGAATCGCCTTCACTAGTTTGATCATTCCATCGTAATCCTGAGGTTGTCAGAAAATAGGGCAATACGCTTGATGAAATCAAGTCTGGAGCTATGTAAACTTACATACCGGCATAAATCACGCGGAAAGCAGTTGTGCATCCAAGGGTTCGTGTGCGATTGGTGCCAACCAAAGAAATGGTATGGGTCTATACGATACACGGAGTGGTTTGGTGGGTACCGCATCTACACGCACCCACACATAACCGATCCGTCCTTTGTAAGCTGACAATCCTGAAAAAATCCGACCATATTTATTGTAGAAACAGTGGTATGTGGCTAAGCCGATCGTTCGGATAAAAATGGATCGGTGCGTTCCACCACGCCGTATATGTTCCGGCTTAAAACACAAATCAACATTTATTATAGGGGATAAGTCAATGCCTGATCTAATGTAGACGCCGCACAGGGGAGTGAGGATCTCTGACTGTTTACCCATTATGATGATACAGGTTAACGAGCGTGAAAAAGGAAGGTGCGAGTAGTATATGTAGACAACTACTGGGAGAGGTAGAGGACAAGTAATTCGAATAAGCCTTGAAGCACTAGACTTTTGACTTGAAGGAACTTTTCAAGACTGACAGAAGATAAACTCCAGTTGAAGGTGAACTTTTGAATATAAATACCGGAACTAGCCCACATTTTTTCCAAGAATCACGACGAACAAGCATGATTCGGCCCTTGCGGTGGATGTATCGACAACGCCGTTGCTCAACGACAACCTCCGAATGGACTAGTTATTTAAGTGCAACACTGAAGCTCCCTAAGTTACAACCTTCAAAAAGTACCAGAATTCTCCACCCCTAGATGCAGTAGAATCTCGACCACTGTCCTAATAAACTTTGGCATCTGTTCCAAATCCACTTAGAGTACATTATGTTTCGCTCTGAGGACAATGGCCAGACCGGTCAGAAGTGGAAGAGAAAAACGTCCCAGATCTATAAGGGGCTGTGTTCAACTGAACAAACAAAACACAAGGGTGTATTCTAGACTGACAATATCCACTCTAAACCACTACGACTCTCCCAAACTACCACTGCAATGAAGGCCAACTGGAGATGGTGACTCGGCTTACCTACAAACAAAGTAGAAACAAACGGACCTCGTAAGAGTGCGATTCGGTCATACACCCATGAATTGTGTATGGCTAGTTGGGTGGTCTTAAACTAGCTGAGCCAAGTGCTGCTCAACGCCGGCATCTATAACTGTCGACGGTAACACTTCTCTGTGGTCGTTGAAAAACAAAAATCCGTCAAAGATAAGCGTAGGTTAACAGAGTTCGTACCCTGTACCCAAATAAAGGAGTGAGCATGCGAGATTAAGAAGAGGTAAACTGTTAAGAATTTGCTGGTTGAGAAACGCTGTGTGTATAACAGCTTCAGGAGAAACGAATTAGAAGAGAATGACCTAAACCTCATTACTCATTACTGTAGCAGACACGCAGTCTTGGCCATATGCCGATGACCAAGTATTTTTTCAGTGCAAACGTGTTATTGATAGGGACGGATAGTATTCCTTGATACGGCGTCACCGCCATCACTGACAGGAATTCAACAGTAATATTCATCCATAGCCGGCTTCACTATATTTGGGCTCATTAGGTGGATGTAGTTCCTGGGCTTCAATTATTTTATTTCGAAGTCAAGCAAAAAACTAAGCGCGGATGGACTCAAAAAACCTGTCGCAAATTAGGGTGATCTTCACCAGTCTCAACATAATCTTCAGTTTGTGATAATGAGTTTGTCGATAGCATCATCTTAATTAGCGAACGAGTTCCCGATTTCATAAAATGGATACCAGTTTGGCGGCCCCATTATCAATTACGATTTCTGATCAGGTCAGCAAGCGCTTCCCTACTTCATTTAGCACGTGTTCTTATAGGGAAATAAGTCACCGTTGACGGTAACCTTGGTAGCGGCGTCGAATGTGCCGGATAAGTCTGATCTCAGATACCAACAGCTGAACACACTGAAGTGAAGATTAAAACACCACCTCGATCTATTTGTGCCCACCTATCTCAGATCGCCATATTTTACGGTAGTTTTGTTTCCAAGTACCAAAAAGTGTCCCGCCGTATATTTTACGGTAGTTTTGTTTCCAAGTACCAAAAAGTTGTCCAGCCGTAACATCCCTTCGGTGTCTAGCTGTCATGACAGCCAAAGGAAGCATGAGAGTTAGCCACTGTCAGGTTTCCAAAGCCTGAACAAGGGTCCAGATCCATGGACATTAGTGACGTGTATGATTTCAGCACAGAAAACGTGAGATGATTTGCCTGCTGCTGAAAATGAAAAAAGTGTCAGAGACCGTGTTTCTCAGCAATGTAGCGTTTTCCAACGAAACCACCCTTATTTCAGTCGAAGTAAGGCTTTTCGACCACTATACCCGTAATTCTCAGTAGAGCACATCTTGGGTTGCGACCTTAAAGTAGGACGAGTAGAGAAGAGGAATGGATCATGCCTGTGTGCAGCGAAGATATTCACACTGTTTACAACAGAGCTTCCTACTGGCGGGAGAAAAACAATGTCGAGTTAGTAATGGTGAATAAATTGTGAAGTATTTCATCACGCAAATGAAGCCAAATTGCATTGAAAAGCCATGAAGACCACTTTCCTTGATGAGGATCATCAGCATATGTAAAGTCTGAATCCCAGTGCCTTTTGGTTTGCTACGCATGGATGTTAGCAGTTTAGTTAACTTGCTCTTAGACAGGGTATAGCACCATTATCACTCGATCGCTAATCCGCGGCAGGTGATCTGGCATTGAATGAAAAAATATAAGGACCTCAAACACCTGTAACACGGTACCATACATTACATTACATTACAATTACAATGAAATAAATTGCATTACAGTTACATTACAATTACATTACAATTACGTTACAATTACATTACAATTAATTACATTACATACATACAAACAAACATACATATATATACGTGACGTAAGCACTGCGAATTAGCATACAAATGAATTTCAAATTTGGAGAGTGGACGGCGCTGGCCAACTGATTTCAACTGCTAGGCGTGTTCGATTTAATTTATCCGCTGGTGAACGTTGAGCCGAACTGAAGCGTATACTGCTCGTGCATGCTTGATGGACCAGTGTAAACCAATCAGTTTGATGGGAACCCGAAGAGGGGGTAAGTTAGGACAAGCCCAAATCAGAACTGAGCGAAAATAGGGTGGACATGTCACAGCATGCACAACTCAGTATTAGTTTATCTAAGATGTTTGCTTACTTGCTGCACGTGGTTACATGTTCTTTAGAACTCAAGTTCACGTCAATCTAGTTTGGACAGTCCTGCTTCTGACCTGGCACAATTTTTAAGGTTAGTCCATATCAAAGGGTGGAAAGCACTGAACTTGAGTTTCGCTCTCATTAGAGCTCGTCAGCATCGTCATTTTGGGATGTGACGGGGTTTCACCTCTGGATATCTGACGTGACGCTCGTAGGTTACCACTGCTCAATCAGCATACGCTGGACCCACCCGAGCTATCATGTCTTAGGAGGCGAACGTGTTCACGCTTGAGCGGTGCGACTCGTTAGAATGATTGCGTCAGGACAAAAGGATTATTTAAAAGGGGGTGATGTGAATGTTTATCTATGACTCGCACCGCGGGACCCAAGAGATGTTCGACCAAAAAGGCATTTACAGTGAGGTTACGATAGGACAGAGTGTCACGCACTGCGTGTGGTGGAACCGTACTATGTGAGTAAGGCTTTTGGAAACTCACATAGGATAGTTCAGCGGACGCAGGACTAGATCGTACATGTTGTTTGTTTATACTTTATGGGGACACTAAAGCGCTTCTGATAACACAGTGGGGTGTGCGACATCCCTATATAAAGGGATTTTGAATTTGCAAGGAGATTCGTTGCGGGTGAGAAAAACGGTGATTTGTTTGAGGCAGGAACGAACCCAACCTTCTGAGACCGGCCATCACTGCACGACAGCTGATTCCAATTTCGTTGGCCGCTAGTCTGAATAACCGAATCACGTTGGCAGCATCGAAATACTAGTAGTTCGAACAGAGCAAGAACCAATGTATACATATGGCTAAATAAGGACTCAGACGTTCATCAAGGACAAAGTTCATACATACGAACTTACTGCGCAATCTCTGTATGCCAGAAGCATGTTACGGACGATGTCATGGCACATCAGCTGCGGATCATCCAGGCGTCTTCGTAACATTCGGAGCCGCTACAGAAAGAGAGTGCCATAGATGGATGCACAAAAAAGCTCAGATGAACTTCCACGAAAGTTATGAAGTCTGATAAAAAAAACTACAAAAAGGTAAGGCCATATAAACCAGTGTCAACAGTAGATTGTTCAGAATTTCCACGAACCTTATGGACGTTACCGCACCAAAAAATGTGACCAGATATCTTGATTATCGCTCTAGTTGAAATTGAGGTCGCATTTGCGCGCCACATTGGGTATTTGAATTCCAGTTGAGCCTCCCGTTAACACCAACATAGTTCGCAAATGAGTACTTATCTCTAAATTCACAATGTAAACAATAGAAAACATATACATACAGAAACCGATGAAAAATAAACGCGACAGAGATAAGACCACCTTATATGACGCTGCTGCCGAACCGTGTTGGAACAATGCGTTCCAATAAATTTTCCTGTCAACATCTGTGTTTATCAAAAGGTCAGGCCTTATGGTAAATGGATCACTCTGAATGATGTGACCCAACATGCACAGGAATAGTCCAAGTATTCGCTACGTCTAATAATAGCCTCGCCTGAACTTTTATTTCGTCTACTATTGAATCTGACAAAGCTACCTCATCGCAGACTCCGTCCTAAAACAAGCGGATTTCCGGAGCACATATTCAGGAATGNCCCCAAAATCTTCCAACAAAATTACAGATGACAACAAGTACAAACCAATGCAATCGACAAAAATTACATCTACTGATACTTACTTCTCGAAGCTCAGCACCTTTATATTCGCTCCGAGCTTTACGTAGATCAGCGAGGAACTTCATTTGAACAGGAGCTCTAAAAATGAGCAACACAAGCACGCAGATAAGTGGACACTGAAAGCGTGCCCCAAACGTGCGAGAACATGTAAGCTACACTGCCAACTGTGATGATCAAGAACGCACATTTTCACACTGAAATTTCTGTTCAGTTCAAGCCAAAATAGTTCGGTGTCGCCGCTGTAGATTGGTAAATTCGGCGTTTCTGCTCATTTAGGAATTTTTCTCAAAACGTGGTTTACTGCTTTTTGTACGCCACCCCTTATATCCCAACTCCTTTCGGCATATCAAGCGTCAGTCGTTGATAAGAGGACAAACACAAATGTGGTTAAACTGGTACTACTTTGGTACTTCCACACTGCTGCCACCATTCCCAAAAGATATTTCGACAAACGCACCTTCATGCAAAAAATTAAAAACCCGTCAGTCAAATAGCGCCAAATACAGCGATTCCCATGACCAGGAATTCCTTCAGAAGTTTTCGAACTTATGTTCATATGACCAATTTTTCAACGTATTTCTAGTTATTTGCCCCATATCTCGATTATTGCTGAACACCATTCGACGTCACGAAATTCCGCTAGGCACTCAAACCAAGAAGTCGAGTAGGGTAACTGATGATGATATTGGGTCAGGAAACAATATCATTGCTTGACAACTTGCAAGTCAATTGTCAAGCTCGGTGAAATGATTAACAACCAAGAAACTCACCCGAGCTACCAATATTTCAACACATTACCAACACCCCGGTAGTGATTCCGACAACAGGCACACAGACGACAAAATTTGACCTCATCTTTCGTTAAAAAAACGACGGTAGGCGAGGGTCATCGTGTGTCAGTGCTTCACATAGCCAGACTTGGAGGCCGATTACCTTCTTTTACGGAAGGTGTCTTCTGTACATGCAAAATGTTTCACCTGGTATTGCTGCTGCACTCATACACTCATGTTTTTTTCTCCATTAATCGGTCTCACGGAGACTTGGCCTGTTCGAGCAACAGAACTGAGATGTCTTCGGGTGTTCGACAATCGTTGTGTCAGAACCATATCTCGTGTGGATCCGTAACGAGGCAATTAGAAAGCAAACTGTCGACTGCGGGCACTTTACTTTCATTGAAGAATGTGTCTAGCACCAGACGCTGCGTTGGACGGGACATGTGTTACGTATGCCTAACCATCGTTTGCCGGAGGGTGCTGTTTTCCATGCCAAACTCAGAGTGACGGAAGCAGAGAGGTGGCCAGCCCTTGACTTGGCAGAGGGGTATGAAAGAAATCACGAAGCGTTTGGGCGCTGTCGGTGTTACTCGCCTTCCAGGATGGGGACCACGTGATCCTCACTTCGCCTGGTTGGAGACGCAGCAATGTATAGCTTCCAACCGATGTCAGTGGCGATATTGTTGTTAGTTTTCATCCAAATTGCCCGAATGAGTGTTCGGAGGTGCACGCACCTTGGAATGATTGCAATGAGCTAGCAAAAAGTCCTTTCCCCGTCCACCTTCGTTCTTCTCTTCACAACAAGGCTTTCAAATAAATTGTGGTCGTACGGCAGCGAGATGAGCGGAAGGTCCGTGGTTCGAACCCGGCCTCCGCCTCTCGACATCCCCTATCTAGGCTTGGACAGCCTGGCAGTATCTCAGCCCTCGTGCTTCCTTCGGGTGGCATGGCAGCTAGGCACCGAAAGGGTGCCACAGCTGAACAGTTGTTCTTATTATTTTTATTTACTCTACCTGCCTCTAACGGCTTGGTGATCGAAATACTCCCAGAGCGTTTTTTTCACGGACACTGAGTGCGCTGACGATATCCCTCTTCATGGATAAGACGCCACAGAAAGCTAACTATTTCGAATTACCCAAATAATCCTGCTGCACAGTTCTGTACGCGCCTCGCACCTGTACGGTGTAAAGTACCACTGCAAGACTGAGTGGGACAGCAGCTTGACTGTCAAGAGTAGTGGAGTGTACAATGCCGCTGTCCGATCTGTCCTATTTTATGGATCAGGTAAGTGGCCGCTGCGTGTAGGAGATCTTCGAAGGCTCTTTGTGCTTGACCACCGGTGCCCCCCACCGAAGCGTTGCGCGGGTCTGGTGGGACCATTAGATCAGTACTGCTATGGTACATGGTCCTTTTCAATGCGTAGTTCTTAATCCCCGCCACACCGGAATTACTTAACGTCAGTGAACTTATTGGACTATCGACTCCGATGCGTGGCTTTCATTTTATTGCCCTCCATGTTCTCCTCCAGCTCCCCCGACCGCAGCATGGCAGCTAGGCACTAGAAGGGTGTTGCAGCTGAACGATTTCTTATATTTCAGGTGACGAAAGGCCAAATTTCCCAGTATACACGGTAGGAAATAATCCCCGAATCGTCCTAATAGGTGACGGTATGAGAACACACCATATTTGTGCCGAAGGGGTTGGCTGTGTATGGGGCGGAAAAACTAATTTACGTAAGTGAAATGAGGGAATGGAAAATCTTGCATTTCACAACTCACCTGCTGTTACCCTTGGACGCCTTCAGAACATCAAGAATTTCGTCTGATAGCGACTTCCTTTGCAGGCAAGATTTGTTAATCATGGTGTCATCTTGCAGTAATTCATTGTCCAAGACAGAAGTATCTAGGCTGACAAGAGTATCGTCCTTCGTTAAAAGGTATGGAATGATTGTGATGTTCTGCTTAAGTGAAGACTATTTTTGAAGGGAATTAGGGAGAATCCAAAGGACAAACTCACGACCAAAGTTGCATTGGACTTTCCCGGAACAAAGTTCAATAGGATGACGTTATCGAGCAGGTTAGAGGACTCTCGGACGCTAAGGTGATAGAGTAATTCCGCTTGGTGTTCCTGAAGCTGATTTGATGGCTTTGGAGGACCAAAAAACCCTCACCTTTTCGCCCATATCCACTATCAAAACATCAGAGTGGTTCATGGAATCCAGAGCAGTTGTGCGGAAGCGCACAGCATCATCGTACAATACAAAATGCAGAGTTGCTTTGATTCTGCACAAACGAACGCAAACATTGAAAAGCACTGCGTATCGCTAACCGTTTACATGTCTTCTCCACCTCATCAACCGCCCTACTCCTAACTTGCATGGAATCGGTAAGCAAAGCGACGTCCATTCTAAATGTTAGAAGCGACGTGGGATTCACTGAAATTGGATGGAAGCAAAAAACAATAGTGAAGAACCAACTAGCCAGTATTCAGTGTAATAAGACATGTGTAAGGAACCAGGACAAAATACAAGGATCCGAAAGATGTCCACCTGCGGGATAAGGGATTGTCGGAAATAATATGACAGCAAATAGTTGTAAAGATGTGCTAGACGAGACTTCTCGAAACCCACATAAGAACTTGAGCCAAAAGGCTGGTTGTGGTTGGAGCGCGAATATACTGACCGGAAGGTTCGAATCCGACATCCGCCTCTCGACTTCCTTTATTTAGACTTGGGTAATCCTGCAGTATCCTACCTCTCGTGCTTCCTTTGGGTGGCATGGCAGCTAGCGCGAACGCGCGGAGTGGCAAATTCAGATGTCCGTCGGCAGACAAGGGCAACAAGCTTGCCAGTACATTAGACCACTGCGTCCGAAAGCCGCTACCCACAATCAATCATTTCCACTTCTAACTTGGAAAAAATTTGAACCAATCTAGTCGGGAGCATAGCTTAACTGTCAGAGACTATCACGTGGCTGTGTGGGGCTGATGCTATTACCACAACATCGTAAAAAGTTTCTCGTTGGTTCGTCCCATACGAATTGGAACTGCACGATAAATGCCCCATTTTCGACTGTATAGTTAAACATAGTCGCTGAATGGCGCTTTAAGTATTACTGGTTTGTGTCGACAACACTCTCATCACATGCATGTAGAGACCGTGTAACTCGAAAAGTTGTGGTAATATTGATATTCGCTGTGTGTGGTATACGGTTTCTGAGAGTTCGATTGATTTATACGTAAATATTGGCCATATAAATCTTTTCTTACTAGGCTTAGGCTCATAAGATTTCCCTCTGCATTTCATTCGCAGAATTTGTTGTGAACTACCATCTTCGGAGAACCACTGCCGGTGCTTCGCTTAGGCTCATAAGATTTCCCTCTGCATTTCATTCGCAGAATTTGTTGTGAACTACCATCTTCGGAGAACCACTGTCTCCCGGTGCTTCCCTAGCGTGCATTCTACAAATGTCCCATACTAGAAGTTTAGTTCTACTGCTCACTGTGCTTGGCACCTGTTCCCTCTTTTAAGGCTCCACCAATTATAGTACAATAAAGGCATGGTAGACTGGCATATACTTCGATAGAAAAAGAATTACCCAGAATCTGGTCACGCCTTAAGCTGCGTCGTCGGGCGCCAAGCGCCGAGCGAAGACACACGAATGTGATTGGCTTATATTCTGACCACTCAGGACCAGCTTGTAGACATCTTGTGGCAGTGCCGTTTATCGGATCGCAGGTTTGGTTTATGACAGCCTAACGGAAGGCCTCTGCTTTTCTATTGAACTGGACACCAAATTTAAATCTTGAATCGAATTTCAAATGCAATCAGATGTAATCCGTGGGTGATTAGGTAGCTTACTGTGCTCGACTGGAACAGAGACTGAGCTCCATTTATGACGAACATTATAGAAACCACCTACCGATCCCGCTATGTAATATTAGGCTTTGATCCATAAGGATCAGACTTTTAAAGCCAAATTAAAATTTCTAACACAGTCTGCTTTACCGAAATGCACTTATAGCATAGGCTAGGATATATACGCTCTATAAGTTAGGCAAACCCCAGTGATTAACCACTCCACCCGGCCTATTCACGGATTCACGGATTGATACACAGGATCGAGGCTTTTGCCCAAGTTTCCCGGGTCGGTTTTGTTCTTGTCGGTCAGTGGCTGTCGTTCACCTGAAAGGCACAAGTGAAAAAAGGGTGTAGCACTGCTCAGTCGAGAGGTTATAGGAAGCACTTCACGGATTCACGGATTCACGGATTTA